GCCTCCAAGCGAGAGTTGTGAACAGCGTCTCTTCACACCCATTGCTGTGACAGGCGGACCCGACCCGCCTCAAGCGAGAGTTGTGAACAGCGTCTCTTCACACCCACTGCTGTGAACAGGCGGACCCGACCCGCCTCAAGCGAGAGTTGTGAACAGCGTCTCTTCACACCCACTGCTGTGAACAGGCGGACCCGACCCGCCTCAAGCGAGAGTTGTGAACAGCGTCTCTTCACACCCACTGCTGTGAACAGGCGGACCCGACCCGCCTCAAGCGAGAGTTGTGAACAGCGTCTCTTCACACCCACTGCTGTGAACAGGCGGACCCGACCCGCCTCAAGCGAGAGTTGTGAACAGCGTCTCTTCACACCCACTGCTGTGAACAGGCGGACCCGACCCGCCTCAAGCGAGAGTTGTGAACAGCGTCTCTTCACACCCACTGCTGTGAACAGGCGGACCCGACCCGCCTCAAGCGAGAGTTGTGAACAGCGTCTCTTCACACCCACTGCTGTGAACAGGCGGACCCGACCCGCCTCAAGCGAGAGTTGTGAACAGCGTCTCTTCACACCCACTGCTGTGAACAGGCGGACCCGACCCGCCTCAAGCGGGCGGGCGCCGGGCTGATGATCCTAGAAGCGGAAGACGGACTCTTGTCTCCCAACCAGCGCTCGAGAGGGCACGTACTCCGCTGTATTCGGCCGTATTCCGCTGTGTGCACTGTATTCTCCTCCGTTGTATTCACGCGGTGCTCTGAATACGCTGCACACAATACCGCCTTCCCGCCCTGAGGTTGGCGTATTCAGCACGTAGGCTGATGATTGGACTCGGCGTCGTGCTCGCGCCGCTGTCGAGCTACGTCACTCTCGTGGGCGTCGAGACGTGACGATCGGCTACATGAGAGCGTGTGTGAGTGTGACGCGGAGAGCTCGAGAAGCGGAGCTCAGTTCGGCGCGCCGCTACACTGTCCGCGACCCCGCGTGGCGTAAGCGCGGAGGCTTATATCGTTTTTTTGGAGCTAACGCTGCGCTATTTTGCCCCGAGGCGCCTGAGAGGTCCAACCTTGATCCTTGTAACACCCACCCGCGCGCACGCGACGCGCCGGTGTCCAGTCGAGCGTCAGTGTTACTTGTGCGTACATGTGAGCCGTATGAGGGCGCCGCTCAGAGTGTTCTCGGGCTGTCTTTTCGCTCTATGTCTATCTAAACGAACGCGCGCTCAGTCCAGTTTACGGCCCGATGCCCAATACTCCATTTCCCTCCCCGTCGCCACGCCCAGGTACAGGCACGGCAGCACCGCCACGCTCGCCGCGACCCAGGCGAGCTGGTTGCCAGAGGCGAGTCCATACGCGTACAGGGCGGTCAAGGCCGTCAGCCGGAGCACGTAACCGCGCACTCGTCTCTCACCGCCCGGCGGCGCCGGCCGGCGCGGCAGCTTCTTCGCCTCTGCGAGAAGGAAGCTGTCGAAGCCGCCGTCGGAGTCATCGCTTGTCTCGTCGTCCTCTCCCCGTCCATCCACCGTGGCCCCCGCGGCTGCTGAAGCCTCTCCGCTGTGCGACTGAACTTTTGTCGCCGCAATCGCCACCGCCTGGCTCGTCATCGACAAGCCCGGCGAAGAATCTTACAAACTGGGCACGGGACTGGCGCGCACTGGCACTAACACAGGTACACCACGGGAGCCGCCTAAGCGACTCCTGCGAGGGTGGCGAGGCACTTAGCTCCGTGCACCCGCCCACCCCCGCCACAAAAGAAAAAAACTGCGCCGCGCTGAGGCGGCGGAGGCGGGCGGGCGGGCGCGGGGCGGGGGGCTGCAGCAGCACACGGGTGGACGGCGGCGCGCATGCTGCTCCTGCTACCCGGCTCGCGTGCAGGTGGGGACCCTGTCCTCCTCCCATTCCTTGAGCACTTGAGCACTGGATAGGGCCGATTCCGCGTGGTACGGGACCCCTCGATCGTCTCGCCCTCCCTCACTGGTGTGTTCATCGGGGGGGGTCATAACAAACACGGTACAGGATCGAGGTGCACGCTGCCGAAGCAGTGTCGTCCCCCTCTCCCCGACGGCGATGGCGGTGTGACCGATCGAGCTACAAGAGGAGCTTGTCCAGCA